AATGTTGAAAAGTTCTGCATCATGTGCACCCTCCTCTCACCTTGTTCAGGTAGTATGCAGCCGCCACCCACCGTCGGTACTGCACAACTTCTGATGCCTTTGCTGCCGCTGCCGCTGCTTGCCTAACTGCCGCCAGGTCTTGGGTCGCCAGGGCATCCTGTCATTGCGCATCGTTGCAGTCATCTCCACAAACGTCAGGACATACTTTATACTCTGAAATTGAACAGGTGGCCTTTGCTGCATCCATTAAGAATGTTTGTTGACTGCTTAGTCACATATGCCTCCAACTGTTGTGACGCTCGCCGCTTGTTCTTCCAGGCAGCCACGGCGCTTTGCAAGTCGTCACTTCCGAAGGCCTTCCGGACCTCACGCTTGCAAACCGATCTGCAGAATCCATGCTTTGGTGTTGAATCGCCTCGCAGATTTCCTCGGTGGTGTAGGCTTCTGGCACAAGATCATCGTGTGCAGCAATGTGATCATTACCTTCATATCGCGCTGCGGAGAAGTTCGGCAACGTGTCTGGAAGAAGCCTCGCAACGTGCGCAGGCTACCTCCTGCAAGGCAGAATGAGGCAGATTAGGCTTTGGATACTTAACAGCCATCAAAGCGAGTCAATCGCATCCAAGCACGCCTTCTTTGCCAGTGCATCAAGTGAGAAAAGTTTTGTAACGGGGGGCTGCACCGTCCAGTTCCATGATTCTCCCTGATGGCTCCTTGATGAGGACAGCCTACGTACATCTACTTACGGAAAAAAGCATTGTGTAGCTGTATGTGTCCCGATTTTCTGAGAAATCTGGCAGCTTGAGGCCCAGATGGAGGCCCATCCACAACATACTATCCCAGAAAACCGAGAAAATCTCTGAGCAATGCTGTTTTCCTTGAGAAAAGCAGCCCCCATGCCGAACAAAATGCACGAACAACTGCGGAAACACGTATGCCTCCGTCGTTGCGGATGCTGGTAGCTACGCCTTGGAGCCCCTTTGGGTTGTTCCGGGACGATCAGAAATTCTGAAAGTTAAAGTGTTCCAGCCTCTCCAAGAGCGATTAGATGCGCGAAACCCATAACGACAGAACGCCAGTTGGCGTCCTGTAGCTTGGCTCCAATCATGGCCACAGACTTCTATGAATCTTAGTCACCTGATATTCCAGCAGCTACCCACTGCCCGCTGGAAAAATGTGATGCTTCTCTGGCATCTGCAGCGCAGCCAGAGCTTCGGTGAGCTTGCTGGCGCTGTCTTTCAGCTTGGCTTCCAGCTCAAGGTTGGTGACCTTCAAGGACGCCTCCAAGCACAACAGAAAATCTCTTTCTCAACCAAGTCGTTCGTACGTATGCTGTTGTCCGTTCAGTGCTGCGCGCGCCTCCGCTTCCTCCAACTCCCGCTCCAAATCAGTTTTCCTTATGGAGGACGCCTCCTAGCA